ATCATGTTTCTTTCGACAGGTAGCAAAATAGATAATTCATAGATAGGTTGATGGTTGTGATCAAAGGATGAACAAAAGAGTTGTGTGCAAAGAATGTGAAAGCGATTAGCTAGTGCTTCTAAGGTTGTTTCATTGAACAATTCGCAAGAGCCGTCAAATGTGCATATCAATTGATTCAAATGTTGACTGTAATTGATCGTGAGCGATAAATCAAATTTAGAGTGTACTTTGCTGTTACCATGAAGTCGGTCATTGAACGTGATGGATAGAACTTGTTCGAGTTGTCCCGTTGCGAATTGAATGGGTTTTATTTCGCATGCAGCTGTGTCGTTAGTTTGGAAAGTGAAAGCGACTTTAACAGAAGTTTCCGATGGCAATGACAATGTTTGAAGAAGCCGTTGAAATGGAAAATGAGCATGTTGTAAGCTTTGATGGTAAAGTTTAGCCGTTCGACACAGACAATGCTGAAAGTTTGTCATTGGATCAAGTTGAAAGCGTAATGGAATCCTGCAACACATATCAGCATTTTACGCATCTTCGAATAACAATAAGAAAAATAGACACTTACATATTAACGAACGTACCAATGATGCTTTTCAATTCAGGTCGATATCGACTATTCACAGGAATTCCAACACACAAATCGGTTTCACCATTGGAAAGCTTGGATACAAACACACAGTAGCACGTGAGCAATAGAGACTGTAGTGATACATTCATTGTAATTGCATAGTTAGTTAGTACTTGTACTAGATCATCATTCAATTTGATACCAGTGGAATAGGCACAACCAATGGATCGTTTATGAAGTTGGCATCGGTGATCAATCGAGATATTAAGATGACGATTCCAATCGTAGTCAAACATAATTTCATGCCAGAAAGCACTTGATTGTCTCATTGGTATGAGTTGTTCAGTGACAGCGTCTGAACAATTCAAAATAAAAAAAAGATGAGAAAGAATGGGAAAATTATCAAATTTTTGTAAGCTTACGGTTAATGTAATGAAAGTCATGGTCATTGCAGGGTAATGCTGCTTCATATTCATAAGCCATGAATAGATCCCGATAGAATATGTCAAGCGATGGAATGTCGAATGCAATCTGATGAAAATTGAAAAGCAAATAGTCTCCTGCTTGGAGAAGGTCGCTGTCGCCGTTGTGGCGTGCAACAATGTGAAGACGAAATACTCGACCATTAAACAGATCGAAATTCAAGGGATTGCATAGCTCATCTAGCATAATAGTTTTCAAGTTAGTATCACTTGTCCATGTACTCTGAACAAAGACAAATAGCTCGTCGTCATTGTTCCTAGGTTGAGCAATGCGCTGCATCAGACAATCGGTTGTAGCATCGAAGAAGAACGATGTTCGAAGAGAACTATGTTTGAGAACGACAAATCGAAGAGCACATCGAAGACGTTTAATAGAAAGAGCACCTGCTGACAGTCGATAGAAAAATGGCCTATTGCTCCTGATCACGGATGGATCAGAGTTGGTGTGTTCATCTAGCCAAATGCTCGTTTGAGAGAACGAGGCACGAGCTAAAATAGAAACATACATAATTTCACAGATATAATAATAAGTCATTAATGAGTGTCGTACCAATCGAATTGATTCCATTCATTGCAGGAAACTGGGCACATTGCATATCGTCCACCATTTCCTCTGGTAAAACCAACGATAAATCGCTCATTGATTGTTCTGCTATCATCATATTCATTGGCATTGGTGAAAATAATTGTTCAACAATGAACTGAAATTGTCTAGCCATGGTGACAAGTGTAGCTGAATCGAAAAGATCTCTCGAGACAATCATTTCAGCTTGTATTGAATGCTTGTCGGCTCTATGTTCTAACGACAGCGTCATGTCAAACATAGCCGCAGTAATTTTAGGTGTTCCGATCTGCATAGAATTGCTTTTCAGACAAGATAATGACCAGGGTTCAATCATTAATCCATGATCGAGTCGAACGAGTGTTGTGTCGACTTCATCCAAGGTGAACATGGTTCGAATCAAACTGCCTTTGTGCGCACGTGCCATTGAGACTTGTTGTATAATATATTGATAGGGTAAATTTGAATGTGGTTCTGCTTCAAACATCATGTTCGATACTCTACGAAGTAGCTGTTCGAATGTGTCTTGTGGATCGACATGAAGACGCATTGGAAGAGTATTGACAAACATGCCAATAATCCGTTGAAGCTCTGGCCGATAGCGATTGGCTGTTACAGTGCCAACAATAAGATCTCTCTGGCCACCAGTCAATTTGAATAGAAAAACATAGTAGATAGTCAGACACACTTGATAAAGAGTGGCATTGAAACGTGAAACATATTGAAATAGCTGTTCGACAATATGACTTGTGAAATGAATTTCAATGCTTAAACCTTGACCAGTCGTCATGCCGTCCAAATAAGACTTTCGATCGACAGGCAAGGCCAACGGCTTTTCAATATTGTAACCGAGTAGAACTTGACGCCAATACATTTTGGCCATTCGCATGTCAATCTGTCGTTCATGAACTGAATCTACAAAATACAGTCCTCGTAAAAAATTATGGAACACTCAACAACATCTCTCCAAAATTTTATAGTCCATTCAAACACAACTTTATATATCTGATAGATATATCTACTGATGAAGCTCTAGTTTTATACTACACCGACATTAAAAAAAGTCTATTAATAATATAACACAAAGACTTAACCATCAATAACGGCTAACATATATATATATATAAAGTTCAATTTGAAATGGAATGTAAAATTTTGGAGAGTCATTCTTGAGTGTTCGAGAATTTTTTTCGAAGGCTGTACATAGCTAAGGCTAGGGATGCTACATTACTATTACTCAGTAATTGATAATAATTATTAGTACTTTTATTACTTATTACTTTGTATTATCATTTGGCTTTGCTTTTATTATCCTGATGACACTAGAGCTTCTATTATTGCTCATTAGCAAAATATGAAATGGTTTCTTATCATTTTATCACTTATAAAAGTAATTATTAAAAACAAATTAGTAAGTAACAACAATAATGAATGATTACTGTAATAAAGTAATAATAAAAGACTAAATACAATATGACAATGATAGGAAAGACAAATAAGATATTGGTGCATAAATATTATTTATTGATTAAATATTATNAAGCTCTAGTTTTATACTACACCGACATTAAAAAAAGTCTATTAATAATATAACACAAAGACTTAACCATCAATAACGGCTAACATATATATATATATATAAAGTTCAATTTGAAATGGAATGTAAAATTTTGGAGAGTCATTCTTGAGTGTTCGAGAATTTTTTTCGAAGGCTGTGCATAGTTAAGGTTAGGGATGCTACATTACTATTACTCAGTAATTGGTAATAATTATTAGTACTTTTATTACTTATTACTTTGTATTACCATTTGGCTTTGCTTTTATTATCCTGATGACACTAGAGCTGCTATTATTGCTCATTAGCAAAATATGAAATGGTTTCTTATCATTTTATCACTTATAAAAGTAATTATCAAAAACAAATTAGTAAGTAACAACGAATAATGAATGATTACTGTAATAAAGTAATAATAAAAGACTAAATACAATATGACAATGATAGGAAAGACAAATAAGATATTGGTGCATAAATATTATTTATTGATTAAATATTATTTTCCATATCTTCTGAGAAACGCTGGTTGCATAGATAAAGCAAATGTAAAAATGCATGCTTTCAACGAATTGTGTTTTTTGTCGAACTAGAAACTATATTACTATAGGCGAGTCAACATTCAAATGACGATTTTCTTAGCCGTCTTTGCAGTAAAGCGCAAACATATTTTTAGTTAGTAGTTTCTATAATTTCAAGCACGTTACGTATCTGTTCAGGTGTTAGCATGCATCGGATATTATGGCGTATCCTAAGTTAATTTTACTGTTATTAAGTTTTTGAAAGGTGCAACAATAGCCATACCAATTGCTCTATGCTGGTCCGCCAAAATATATTAGCTATCTCAATTATGCATAAATATTGAGATTAATTCATGTTGAGAAAATAAAGTCTAACGTTGTGACAATTCTCTCAACTGAAGGAAGGGCCGTATGACATAAAATGATTGTGAGTCTTGTCATTATGAAAAGGTTTTTTTCTATAAAGTTTGGTCGAAAGTAATCGTGGTTGAAGAATCCGAATCCGTAATCGATTTCTAACTATTCGCAACCCTGACTCCCTTTTCTAATAATCCATTATTTCTCTGAAATACCCTTACACTACCGAGAAATTAAAATGATGAATTTCTAGAAGTCAGTTGGAGATTTGGATTCCTCAGCATCGGTTATTTTCCATTAAACTTTAAAATGAATCGTCACTTTTGCAAAATAGCCTTCGCAAGACGAAAAACAATAGAAATAAAATGGTATTCATCTTAGGCCTATCACTAATTCACTTAATTTCAAGCGAATCAAGTTTTCAATGAAAAAATCTTAACTTGATATTAAGCATTAAGTTGTTTTGTTAACACTTCATATTAAGGCATTAATTGTTAATTAAATAAAAAAATCTTAAACTGAATATTAAGTGTTAAGTTTGTTATGCACCCTTAATATTATGGAATTACGTTTTAAGTAAGATCAACCGTGACTACCCGTTCGCAATTCGTTACTTAGCTTAGTCAACTACTGTCCTGTCTGATAAATTTTTAAGTCATCAGTATTTTTCTTGAACAATAACTAAAGACCCATCAATTCAGGCTCATGCTTTTTTTATACTTACTGAGAAAGGCGAAAAGTCTTTATCGTTTCTCAAAAAAACGGACTAAAGAAAGCATTGTAAAAGTAGTCAGTCAGTAAAATACGCATCTCTAGTGATCTATAGATTTCCTCAGACTGATCACTTTTGGCCCTGGTTTCAGAAATAGTCAATAGGAAATGTAGGACTGTTTTGAACTCTCCGCGATCTTTTATTTAAGAAGCAATTTCAACAGAACATGGATTTTGCAGAAAAAACTGATGCAAGTTTTATTTTAATGACGAGGGCACACGCGAGCTGTATTTATAGGATCTAGAAATAGTAATGGCTCTAGATCCATACGAAAATTTCGGAAGTATGACGGAAATCCTTGAGCTGTGTCGTGAGAAGATAGAAGCATGAGTTTAATTTAATCGTATTAGCGTAAAAAGCCCTAGATTTGCCAGATTACCGTATGACTTTTCTATACAGAATAGCGAATCGATTCTAAGCTTTTTAGTTTCAAAGAAATGCACTCTATTTAAAGGTGGTAAAAATAGCAGTAGTATTCCACATTTGGATTCGTGTAAGTGAAATTGGAATATTCCAATGTTAACAATCTTTCACGGTATTTAGGGGAGAGCGCGGCTCAGATTTTAATTATTCGACATCTGGTGTATTTCTCTCAGTAATATGAATTATGAACTCAATAATCTAAACTACGTAGGTGCGCTTGATTTTAATTGTCGATATCGGTTGATTTGAAATCAAATTTGTTGGTTTAAGCTTATGACTTCCTATTCTATATGAAAAACGCTTGTGAAAATCTATATGTTACATTCTTGAACGCTATTTTGATAAGAATACAAAAATATATCATTTATTGCTTGCAAGGATTCGAACAACAAGAATTTTAGGAAGCTTCAAGTAATTATGAAACAAAGTCTTCATACAACAATTTTCTCATGATCTCGAGTGGACTCAAAGATAAAAATTTGCCAGAACCGAGATCGTGAGAGCCAGTATCACATACTTATGATTACCATTTCCACTATATCACTTAAATTGTCGACTCCATTGCTTTACATCTATTAATCTTCTTATAATATTCACAACAGACAGCTAACAGTCGATATGTGTATAAGTGTATTTTTATAGCTTTCTTCGGTACAAAAAAATGATATTCTAAACAGGAAAATAAAGCAATGGATACGGTTCACTTTAGAAAGTCACAATGAGAAGGCCCGATCTTCTAACAAAATTATCGTCTCTGACAATAGTATAAGCAGTATTCTCTATGAGCATGCGTATTCAGCAACAGTTTTCAAAACAGAATCCATCAGACGATGAGAGACGAGGACTAGATCGACTTCAGTAGAGGGCCAAGCGAGTCATGGTGACAAGCGTTACTTGTGCTTTAGTTTGAAGCCTGAGATCTAATCGGTAGTTAGTAGTAATCCTACTATCTAATTTGTGCATTACTTTATTACGTCTTCGTTACTCTATTACTTTTTTCGTAGTTATATCTTATTACCAGTAATGGTTATGTAGCACCCACACGTATGTCATAGTTTGATAACATTCAATAAAATGAAGATATAGCAATTGAAGTGCCGTTTTCTTTTACTTGAAATAGATGAAATTTTTCGAGACATTTTGAGGAGTCTGCCCCTGGTCAAAGCTTTTCGAGAACGGCACAACAAAGCCATCTATAATCAGGAAATAAAATCAATGTCGTTGCCGAAGCAAAGTGGTTATAAAATAAATACACAAATCAAATCACCTCTTCAGCTGAATCTCACTTACAATCAATATATTGCAGTGTTGTCTCTAGATCATGTGCTTGAGTATAGAATTGTTGAAGATCATTGAAAAAAATTTCTTCGGATTGACCATCAAATGCGACATGATGAAAATTAAAAATTATCCAATCACCCACAGAAAGAAAGTCATCGTTTTCGATCACAAATGTTGAACGTCGGCGCACAATGTGACATCGGGCAACTTGGCCTGTAGACAGATCAAAATATGTTCGATTGGTTATTTCATCAGTAAAAATATTTTCCAGCATGTTGTCATCGTCGATGATACTCGTACAACAGAAAAAATAATCCTGTGCATCGTTCAACTGAACGTATTGTGTCATATTTCCATCAACCGGATCCAATCGAACCGATGTGCGCAGAATAGCATGTTTTCGAGTAATTTGACGAAGAGCTCGTCGAAGACGTTCAACCGACAGAGAACCTTGTAACAAGCGAAATAGCAGAGGAAGGTTATAGATAGAGATGCTCTTTTCATTAGAAGAATGAAAACGAATCTGCTCATCTAGAAAAATACGCGATTGAGCAAATGAGACTTCAGCTAAAAGATACAGCAAAGGAATTGAGTTTTCTTTGAAAATATCATTACGCTTTCACCTTACCACAATCGAGGTGTAAGTGCGGCCATGTTTGGTAACGTTCCCCAGTAGCTGAACTAACTATTTCAGTCAACCGTTCTGCATGTTCGCTGATGGTGGCATGTCGAAAACATTCGACTATGTCCGGCGCCATACTGAATTCAATCTGATACAAGCTATATAATTTCATGAATGCAAGTGACGTGCCATGAAGAGAAAAGAAAGATTTCTTGATTGGAATTTGTTTCAGATGTAAGACTTTACACCATAAGTCATGCACGCGTTCTTCCATCTTAGTGATCGGTTTCGTATGTTCTATCTGTGACTTTATCAAAGTAATAGATTCAGGAGGAGGTAAAGCATT